CCAAAATCTACATCATTTCAATAATATTTATAAATAAATAGTAACCATTTCTCTCAATTGTCTACAGTTCTCCAATTTTACACTGAAATAATTTTTTTTTTAATTTCATACACAATGGTATTACTGTATCACAAGTGCAGAATATTTTAATGCAGTTGTGAAGCCTAATCTGACTACCAGACTCAATTTTTTTTTTGCTGTAAGACTCAGCATTTACTTTAAACTACGTAAAAGTTCTTACAAACCATGTTTTAATTGCCCCCCCAGCGGTATGTCTGCGGACTTACAACGCTAGAAACCGGTTTTGATACCCGTGGTGGGCAGAGCACAGATAGCCCATTGTGTAGCTTTGTGCTTAACTTCAAACAAACAAATGTTTTAATTATTTTAGCAACAGTAATATAACAAACTCACTTCTTTACTATGATCTTAGGTTCGATGTACAGAGAAACCAGAGTTATACTTACACCTCTTCCATTTCTAGATCTGGATCATCTTGAGATAGCCGGAAATAAGGGTTTCTGAGAGTGGGGCGGAAATTGTAACCAGTTAGAATGAAGAATGTTAGCGTGGCTCCTTCTTTAAAAAACTCATCCAGCCACTCATATTGGAAAGGCAGAGTAATCTAAAAAAGGAAAAGTTAATATTGCAGTTTCTTGCTAGAGAATACATAATTTAAAATGTCCTAATTATAACTTCTTTCTCAATCAGTGACCCAAGCAATTGTATCAAAATATAAGAATATAATAAATTGCATCAATTTCAAAATTAATTAGTTTTGATAATTTATTCATTTTCAGTAATTAGTGATCCTGTTGATATTTTTTTTATCACTAATAATGAACACTAGCAGACAAATACTAGTGAACATTTGCAGACAAATTAGTATTTTAGTGCAAAAGTACTTTTTCAAATAACAGGATTTTTAGAATAATACAAAAGAATTCTAACTGCAGACACAGAAATCTGTAAGTCCACTTGTCTTAGGCCTAACATTAATTAAGCCTTTATTAAGTACAGCCTATATTCGATAAAGAGATAAATTAATACTGTAACTTGCTTTAGCTTAGTTAGGACTAAACTTTACCATATTTAATATTATCAATAAATAAATTTATAATGTTATTCTATGACCTAACATTAGACTTTTTAAAAATTGATAAGTTTTAATATGTTGTTGTACTAAAGTATATTTACCTCCATTGCAATGAAGTGCATGCACGTGTGTATTTAGATAGTAAGGTCCGTGTGCATTTTCAGGACAGAAAAAATTTGAGAATTAATATAATAGATACAAAAAATGAACTAGCTTTACTTTTGATCTGGAGTTCAACTTATTTTACTAAATTTATCCTAACATAAGCATCCTATAGCTAATGCTCCTGATTTACCATTTATTTTAACACAAAATACAATCATGTATTCATGTTAAAAAGTTCAAACTGAAGCACAATATGAACTTGACACTGTGTATATCCAATATAAAAACTTTCAGCACATATCTGTTAGGCTTAAGTTCTGAAGGATATTTTTTAAAGTAAGTAAATGATGAGATTTTGTAGTCTTCTTAACCCTATGTGCATGGGTTGGTCTATTGGACCTAAGATGTATTTGAGAATAAATATTTAATATTAATCCGAAGTTACTAAGTGTATTCAAATTTGATGACAAGGAACCCACTTTTTAGAAAATAAAGTCTGGAGATGGCTTGATTACGTAGTGAAGGAAAACTTTGTTACAAATGTACAACGTTTTGGCGAGCTAGTCAAAACACTGTACATTTGTAATAAAGTTTCCTTCACTACCCCTTGAAGCCATCTCTAAGCTTTATTTAAAAAGTGTATCTCCAGGAAATTTAGCAAGCTCACAGTAAACATTACAAATATGTTGAAAACAAAAAATCAGAATTCTTAATGAAGTATTTTTTTTACTTGATTTGTCTGTGAATATACCGAGTCATTTTGACCCAGACTCTGACTAGCCTAACTGCAAAATTATTTTTCATGTTAAGAATAAAAATACTTTTTCATCTTAAAGTTTTCATATTTTATTTGCATAACCTCTAGAATCTCCTAAAAAAATATCAAAAGTTATTTTTGGTAAAGCTTTATAGTTTATCACTTATTTTGTCTATCCTAACATTAACTGTAACAAAATCATCAATCATGATCAATAAATAGTAAAATGAATTGGAAGTTGAAAAATAAGAAATAAAATGAACAATACCTTTTTCTTCTTCTTTTGATTTATAATTTCCCTTGTTTCGTGTATTTTGTATCTTCAAAGTTTCAACTGTTAATCTTTTCACATCAATTTTACATAAATTTATGGAGTTGTTATTATACTTTGCTTATGGTATTTATGAACCATGACCCCCTAATTACCCCAAATACCTAATTACAAGCATCAAACTAATCTAAATAAATAACAATCTTTTATTTCTATTGATTATAATCCAACAGAAAATGTCAGAGAGAATTAATTGACATTTTTTGAAAGACATGATGAGATAGTAGGGGCATGGCATGCAGGTTTGGCAAGAAGCTAGGATTTATATTATGCTTTGTCAATATCTATAGCATAATTGTGTAAGTGGGTCATATATGGATAGAAATAAAATTTAAAATGGGCAATTCAGGGCACAGGTATATCACGTGATATACAGAAGTAAAAATTGAGAATTTATTTAAAATTTCCTTTTGAAATTAAGAGCATTCAAAACTTACATAAAATAAAAATTTGAATTACAAGCACTATACATTAATAAGAAAATTGTTTAATTACATTTTTAATGTAATCTTGTAAAAAAAGGTCATGATATGCACCCTTTGACTCTCCTATAGTCAGAGGATTAATGATGGTTATTGTAACCTTTCCTCAACTGAAAACTATTCCCTGTTATTTAAAACACATTATTGTCAACATATTATCAAACACCCTGTAGCTTTGATCGACAACTGAAAATTGTCGTGGCTTTCTAATTCTGTTTTTTTTTTGATTTTCTCTAAAAAAAATAGTACTATTGTTTCTACAAACCACATCACACTAGTGTTGATCCATCTAACACAATATAATTAGTTGTTATTATAACAAAAAAACTAGGAAAATATTTACCTTTCTCAAAGTAGCAAACGTCTACAAGGAAATGTTTGCAAAGTAAGCAATCATGAAACCTTTCAATGACATAAAACAAACCATTCAGTGTCTATTGATGTAGTTTACATGCATTCCGTTTTCTTAATCAAACAATACTCAGTAAATACTACATTAAACATACACAGATGAAACATTCAATCACTTATTCATAGTAATAAAGTTGAATCATACCTTGAGAAGATACACAATAATCCTGGTGAAGTAGATATAGCAGACAATCTAAAGTGTACAAATGAAGATATTAGAAATCCATCTGTAAAACATTTCACCATTTTCTCTTCCAACTAATGAACAATCATCATCACCATCTCTAAAACATTAATTGATAAATATATACACACATTTTTCACTTTAATAAACATATATTTAGTATGTAAGATAATAAAGCATTATATTACCAGAGTACTCATCTAATTTACATAATTGTACGTGACAAAGATTTTATCCAGAAAAATGTAATATTACAGTATAATTTATCGTAATTAGCTCACTGCCCGATATTATTCACTCAACTCACTTATTGCCAATTTACCGTATAGCATACGATCCACCTCTAGCAGTCGAATGCAAAGTGTGCTATAAGCAGTGTAAGGCTCTCAAACATTCTGCATGTGTTTAAAGCAGCCACAGTCAAAGGGGTTGAATTATGATGGAGTCTACCATGCATACTTGATTATATGTCAGGATGAATTTCTTAACAAGTTTTTTGGGTGAGGCCAGTGGCAGCTCATCAGAGGAGGAAACGGAGGATGTGTTTCCTCAAAACTTTTGAAAAAATTATACGTTTCTTACTATTTTAAGTTAATACATATATATATATTTTGTTTGTTTTGGGCATGAAATTCTTGACCATTTATATTGTATAAATGGTCAAAAAATCTTCTTGTTCCAATCTATGCCTTTTATCAAGTGAGGCAATAAGCAGGTGTCTTTTGGTTCTTTTTTTATCTGTATACTTTTTCAATGCTGCAACAGAAACAGCCAACAGGAGCTAAGCCTTCTTCCACATTTAATAAGGATTTTGAAGACAGTCATACAGCCTATCAGAATCTAGATTTAAAAAATAATCCAATGAAAATCATTATAAAAAATGTTTGCAACAATGAGGAGTGTGAAAGGTCATGGTAATCAAAGACTGGTATGTATATTTAATGATTCTGTTATTATTCAACGCTTTTAAGGATATAAACAAATAAAAGTGAATTTCATTAACTGAAGTGCAGCGACTTGGTTAGAAGACGTCAAAACTTAACTTGATTTGGAAGTTATTTCGGAATTTTATAGTTATAATAATATTTAAGCTTTGTCTAGTACAATAAGATTAACAACGTGTTTGTAGCAATGAAAAACTGAGGACTCAAATTCCAATATAAATAAACCAAGATATCTAAAAACAAGTGTCTGTTTTATTGCCCTATATTTTTAGGGGTGAGGTTGAATTATTGCCAGGACCCTCATCAATATTAACTGTGACTCACCACTAGGTGAGACATTGTTTTTAGATGTTTTATGCAAAGCTAATCAATGGTTATCTAAGAATACTCGTCCCTTATTTTGAATTGATAGGAAATGTGATGAAAACTGTCTGTAGTCTAATGTATACATGACTCACCGGGCCAGTGGAATCTGTAGGTTCGTGATTCACACCCGTATCCATGACTCACTGGGCCAGTTGAAACTGTGGGTTCATGATTCACATTCCATTGATGTAAAAACATGCTCCACGTTTTTGGACTGTGGGTTTGATATACAAGAATAATGGAAGGTTGGCAGTGTGTGTGTGTTGGTAACAAACTTCCATTTCTATAAGTTTTTTATCTGTTCTTGATAGATCTTAAATCCATCTGACCGATTTATCAGAGCTTGAAAAAAAACAAACCTGCAGTCTAATGTGATTGTAACCACAAACATTAGGCTTATTAAATTTATTTCCAAAACTTAAATCCAAATTAAGAGGAAAACTTAACCCTAAATTAAAGGGAAAACAAATTTTAGTAGGAGTGACAACACTTGTATATGGAACACATTATGCTGATACCTGCAGAAACCAGATCAAAGTTATGTTGAAACATGTAGCATGTTCTTCACATAAGATAATTTTTGTTATCTTTATAAAACCTTGTTTGTCAATTTTCTATTAGAAGCGAGAAATAAAAGGAAAGAAAAAATATTTTACTTGGCTACAAAAAAGCTCCAAAATATGAAAAAAAATGAAGTTCAGATGTTCAGAAACTGAACTTGGAGATAAAAATTCAAAGATAAAATACATAAAGTGGATCCAGTTACCTTTTTTTTCACAATGTTACTACATACAAAGGATATCCCCATCTTAGAAACTCTAAATCCCCAATCTGAACACATTTTTATGATCTGAGTGTATGAACATTTTGCATCAGAAAGGGCTATTACCCACCATTCCCAAAAACTATATTTCTGTAGAATCACCCCACTTGCAGAAATGACAAACAATACCAAAATGTAGTTCTGATACACTCCATTCTATCATGACTTTATATTAAGTCATGTAGCCCACTTATTTGAATATAACATACTCAATCCTCTGTATATATGTATATGTAATGTAAGGTTTACTGTTCTGTACAACCACTTGAATGTTACACTTTTGTGTAAGAAACAACTCTAAATTATCTAACCATGATATAAAAGTGCCTAAAGAGTTTGAGTTTCTGCAAGTTGACTGCAGCTTTTCCATCAGTCTGGGAGGCTTCTCGAAGATGTCTGATGGACCTAAATGTGTAAGAGTAAACAAGTTAGAACTTTTTATCCCTTCGTTTTAAAATAATCAGTGAAAAAAATTTTTTTTTAAACTCTGGGTTTAAAAAAAGCAAAAACTTGAATATGTAATAATTTTAGGTTGTTATTTCTGAAGAGAGGTGGTAGCCCCAAAACATTACCTGATGATAATAATAAAATAACATTTTAATGACAATATTTCAACATTTTTCTTGCACTTTTGACTGTGCCTGTATGAACCTAATTAGGGTAAAAAAAAAGGGTTAACAAAATAGTCTTAGCAATTATTTATATGGTTGAAGCTAAGTATAGCAAATATCAATGTTAATTTAGAAGAGCTTTCATTAAAAAATACTGTAGTAATAAATGATACACTTACCATCCACAATAAATGTACAGATATTTTATTTGAAATACTAAAAGATGATATTGATAGAACTGACGAGTCTTGCTAGCTTTATACAGGGATGATAGCATTTATGAAAATAATTATGGTACTGAAGTTATGTGATTTCATCAACCAATGTTTTGTGTAGTTTCCCATACATACTTAAAACAATTACATTCACTCATAAAAACTCATTAAAACACTAAGGTAGCAGCAAATGAGTAGGCAACAGCCATTCAATTACTATTCTTTTCAACACACTCTAGGTGATACTAGAGTTTTGTTGAATGTTTTAAGGAAGTTTTGTCATAAGAAATATCACCACATTGAAATTAAACGCAAGATTTAAATGATTCTTGAGACTACAAACTTATTTCAAGAAAGAAAAACTGAGGAATAAAATGTTCCAAGCTTACCACACAATTGGAAAGAGTATGGCTCCACAGCACAAGAGATCAACCAAGATGAAAACTTCCCTCCAAGTGCTATGTTGAGCTTCACCCTCTTCACTCTCTTCCATGATAATTTCTGCAACATTGGCCAATACCTGCAAAACATATATGGCTACAGAGTATGTACATACAGTTTTACAGCTATATATATGTAAACTCTGTGGCCATATATCTTAATGTACATACAGTTTTACAGCTTACATATATATATATATAGGACATATGACCACAGAGTATGTACAAACAGTTTTACAGCTTACATGTTAACATACTATTATGCACTATTACTATATTTCTAAATCTTATAGGTATGCTATAAAGAAAAATAATGACCCAGGAAACAGAAACAGAAACTATT